CTAGTAATAATTTTTCAATAACTATTTAATCAAATTTAGTGAAAATTTTTTATTTTAATTCTATATACTAACTTATAATCTGTAATTTTTAAATATCAAAATATTATACATTCTTCTACCTCTTTATTATATATATATCATATTTTTTACTAAATGCACTTATTTTTTTTTTCATATTGGTAGCCTCACCGATATCTTTATTAGATCAAAGCATATATATATACATATATCTAAACTATCTAAATTACAGATTGACATCATTCAGCTGCCCTATTGGTTATCCAAATATGGTCTACCACACCAGTTAAGGCATTGCCTATACCAGAGTGCTGCACCAAGCTAGCTAGTGAAGCTATAATAAAATAGCCTCAATTTAAAGAAATTTTTATCAAGATTTTGCTAACAATTAACCTCTTCAACTTTATTCTTCTTATTACAATAATAATCTAAATCTACTCTACTATCTAATTTAGCTTTGATTTTAACTCTATTATAGCTAAATTCTTTCTGTTTGTGTTTAAGCTTCTTTCTTTCTTTTAGTTTATTTTGTTAAAGCCAATAGAAGATTCAGCTCTTGGAAATCTTCTCTTGTTCTTCCCTTTGTACTTCTCTTTTTATTTTATGGCTTCATATTTTTTTTTCTTTTCTAAAGTATTTATCCTAAAGATTTTTACTGATAATGTTTTTCTATAGATCTTCTCTCTTCTCAGCTTTCTTGACATTATTCTTGAATTTTCTGCTTCTAGGTCTTGATTAATCCACTTGTATCTTCTTTTTTCCTTTCATCAGAACTGAGCTTTCAGGTCTTTTGTTTCTATATTTTGATTAGCTATTCAGGTTCTTCTTCTTTTCTATTCTGCATTTGAAAACCTTTCTTTTTCTTCTTTTTTCTAGAGCCTGGTTTTCTGTCTAGAAACTTCTTTTATATTTCAATAAAAATCTTTCAATTTCCAAAAAGTTCTATTAAAACTTGTTCTACTATTTTTAAAATTATATCTTTCTTTTTTTTCTTCCAATTCTTAACTCTCTTTAATCTTTCTGCTGATATATCTTAAATCAAACTTGTATTACTAATCTATTAGAATCTCATCCACCATATCCATTCTACTAGCAAATCTTTCCTTTTCTTTTTCTAATTTTTGCTATTAATTTGTAAGTCTTTTTTACTTGCTTGATATATTATTTTTATCATTTACTCTTCTGAGGTTAAAAATAAAGTCTTCGAACTCGTCTTTGCTTAAATTTGTTTCAAAGTTTTTGCTTTTATAGGGCCTTAAATAACTTGTTTCTTGATTATCTTTTTTCTTTTTCCTTCTTTAGCTTTTTCCTCTTTTTCATGCTGGTTTGCTGCAGCTACTTTAATGGATTCTTTAAATTTATTAACTAATACTTTTAATGATATTTTGTTATGCTGCTTTTGTCAAATTTTTCTTTGTTTTTGAAGTCTCTTACTCTAACCTAGTTTTGACTTCGACTTTATTTCAGCCACTTGTTTTTTCTTTTGTCAAACTTGCATCTTCTTTTTTTCCTTAATTTTCTTTTTAACTTCATACTGATTTACTGCGAAGATTTCGATGGATTCTTTAAATTGTTGTACTATTGTCTTTAGGATCATTTTATTGAACTGCTTTTGTTGATTTTTCTTTTATTCTTAAAGTCCCTTGTTCTAACTTAAATCTACTTTTAACTTTATTAACTTCATTTCAGTAGCTTGTTTTTCTTTAAACTCTATTATCCATCTTATCCTATTAGCTATTTCTAAGTCAGCTAGAATGTTGTTCATTTCTTGATATATGATATATCTAATCAGGTCCTCTTCTTTTTGTAATGCTATATGGTAATCATTGTTGTTTTTTTTTCTAAGTGCAAGTTCTATACTTAATTTTATCTGAATTATATTTTCATAATTCTTTATTAAGTTCTGCCATTTGTGCCTCAGCTTCTTCTTCTGTAATAAGTTTTTCTCCAGTATATTCTGCTAATATTAGATCTATTAGGATATCTTCATTTTTGTCAAGTGCCTCTACTTGTGCTTCAAATTCTTTTGATACAGTAATTATTCTTTCAGAACATTCTGTTACTTTTTGCTTCACGTGACTTGTTGTTTTCCTGTTGTTGTTTTTTGTTGTTGTTGTTTGTTGAGATTGTTTACCATTTTTGTTTATATTCATTATGTAGTTTTTGGCATATTTTCTTTGTTTATTCTTCATTATATGTTGTGATTCTTGTATCACTAAAACAGAACTGCATTATAGGGTCAAAGCCAATTCTCTAAAAATTTATAAAAAATAAAAAAAACTAATAGTTTTATATGATTTCTTCTATATCCTTGCTGCCTTTGCTCCTCTAACTCAAGTCTCTTAAAAGACTAAGTGTTTTCTACTATCTTTTTCCTTTTTTTTTAGAGTTTCGAGTCTGGTTTCTTATTGAATTTTGTATGTTTTTAAAGTTTTTCAATAATTTTTGTTTATGTAAATTTGTGTATAGAGGATCAGCAGAAAGAGTTGTTGTATAAAATACACTTATTAACTTTATCAAATTTTATAATATTCATATTATATTTCATAAATTTATTGCTTATCAAAATAACAATTATAATAATCTTGCTGATTAACTTATATGCAACTATTATAATTTGTTATATCTTAAATTTATACCTTATAATATCTACAATCTAGCTTATACTTTAACTTTTGAGAACTTTTTTTTAGAGTTATTTATCTGTTATAGTGTTTATATAATATATTATACTTATATTTATGCATTATGGATAACACAAATCATTTTCAAAAATGAAAGAAAATTTTTAACCAAATTAATTAACAAACTATCTAACTATATATTAATAATAATTAAAAAATTTTAACTTTTTATATAGTTTTCAATTTTTTGCTTTTAAGTTCTTCAGAATTAAAATTTTATTAGATGATCTTCCTACTCTATATATTTTATACAAATGATATTATTCATATTTACCTATTTGTTATCAATATTATCATATCAGCTTTTGTCTTCACTAGATAATCTGTTTATCTGATCAACTACTATACAACCTTATAGATAATTTATTACAATATACTCTTGATACAACTATACTTGATACTACTCATAACATTATAACCAACTTACATTACTAGATTAAACACTTATACTGCATAATTATATATAATATACCAAACACACCTTTAGTTTTCTCAACTTTATTAGGCCTAATACCAAATAACATTATTATCTTTATCTTAAACTTATCAATCTAAAAAATAATTACAACACTTGTTATAAAATTTTTACTTTATCTTAATTAACAAATTTATTATAAAATCTGAAATTCTTACTGTATTTCAAGATTAACAGTCTATTTTTCTACTAATAATCTATCTTCTAATCTTACTTTGCATATATTTCAACCTCTTCTCTTTACTACTATTAGCTTCAAAATCAATTTTTGGTATATACATTAGATCAAATACCAAACTATATTATTATTAATACCCAAATCTAGATGAGCCTTGGCCACTTCAGTTGGTTTAGATCACAAATAAACTAGTCTGAACCTCTATTCTTCTATAATATTTTAAAAATTGATTAATACTTTATGTAATAATCTCAATTAAATATTCAATAAAGATAAAGGCATGACCTCACCATTAATATTAAAAAAATCTTTACTAAATTTTTAAAAAATCTTAAAATATCTTAAAAAAACTAAATTAAATAAATTTTTTCTTGAACTTTAAACAAAGATTCCTCAACAATCATTTATTCAAATTTGATGTAACTTTTTTTATTTTAATTCTATAAGTTTGCAAAATTAAAATAAAAAAATTTTCATTGAATTTAAATAAATGATTGTCAAAAAATACAAAAATTTTAAAAAAAATTTGACCCAGCTTCTTTTTTATAGATAATTAAGCTTTGAACAAGATTACTCAGAGCTTACCCAATCAAATCAATCAAATTTTTTTATTTTAATTTTATAGATTTACATAGACAAAAAATTTTGATCGATTTAGGCGTCTATAAAAAAGAAACTGCGGCTAATTTTTTTTAATTTTAATGAACATTTCTTGACAACAGCTATTTAACTTCAATCAATTTTTTTTTTTTTTTTTTAATTCTATGAACTTATAGAATTAAAATAAAAAATTTTTATCGAATTTGGATAGATGGACGTTGAGGAGCTTAACTACTAAGCTATGAAACCCAACACTTATACTATAATCGTTCTCCGGTTAACTAGTAAATTATTAATATAAATAATTTATAAATAAATAAATATTAAAAATATATATATATTAAAAGAAAATCTAGACAATACCTCTCTGTATTTAGTACTTTTATGACCAATCAAAAAAAATTTAAAATAAAAGAATTATAATTCATATTAGATTAGGGTTAGGGTTAATGTCAGAGGAAAATTGTGTAAAAAACACTTTTATTAGTTACGCAATGGGTTAACATAGTAAAAATTCAAAATATTAAAAAGAGGTACGCATTGCATGGGGCACCGTTTAGTCCTTTTTTTTTATTACATTTGGAACAAAATTGATAGCCCAAATTTAAATTGTAATCTGGGCTAGCCCAATTAACAATTGGGCAAATTGTTATCTAAGGCACAATATATATGTAAAATTCAAATAAAATCTAAAATATATATGTCCAATGTACAATCCAGTCCAATGGTAATAAAAATAACACTACCGACAACATAATTAAATTTACTTTTGTATCATATAAATCTCTAATCATGCCAAGTCCGGTAAATAAAATAATAAACTCGAAAGCCCAAAATCCGGTTTTCTTTTGCCTCACACAAAATATTAAAATATTAATTTGAACATGTCTTTTAACTTTTAATTAATCTTATTTTAAAAAAAACCAGCCTTATAATTTATATATTAAATCACCATAACAAAGAACATTAAAATGGTGATTGATTATTTTAATTTTTTTGATAAAATCTGATCACAGTAAAATAATCAATTGATTTAACATCCTAATTATGTATGAACAATTTTTTTCAACTGTATTAAAAATGCAGTATGTCCAGTGGGTTCATGTGAAGGTCGACAAATATGCCCTAAAGCTTGATCAGGTATCTCATCATTTAGAGTTAATTGTTTAACCGAAAAACTTTCATCATCCATTTTGTCTCTTATAACTGTAGCCCTAACATCCCATGGTCTCCATTGTATTTCTAGAATTTGTTCAGTTGCTAATGCGATTTTATGATATTTGATTTGTTTTATTAATTCCAATACTTGAGTCATATTTGGTAAATAGCACACGATATATCTATCAATTTTCACTCGTGGAACGATCGAAGGTAGTTCATTCCACGGCTCAGGCATATCTAATGCTACACCATCATACATTGAAAGGGTAATGTCCATAGAATCAAGTACTTTTGAACATTGACCTATGCTGAACGATATGCAATCGGAATATATTCCACGTGAAAAACGCGTAACATTTTTACGGGCCTTAACACTGGCATCACGATTGATATCTATGGAATGTAAATGACCAGTGGGATATAAAGATCTCGCCAAATAAAGAGTTAAAGATCCATTACCCGTTCCAGCTTCCATTATCCGAGAATATGGATGCAAATCAAGCAAAGAAACCTAACATAATGAATTAATAAATTAATTATAATAAAAAAATGTGAAGTCAGATAAATCAATTTGAAAATTCATTACTATAGTGTTGGCATCCTTTGGATATATAGGTGTCATCAAACGCGGTATCATAACAACGTATCTAAATTCATTGAACAAATCAGAGACACTATAAACAATCATTGAGAGGTATATATATATATATATAATAAATTTGAATACATACTCATCCAAAGTAGGGAAATGTATAGTATATGACTTATCTGCAAATGTAGCATTCAATATTAAAACAAGAAAAGTTAAATTGTTAGGTTAAATATAATAAAATACCTTTATTAGTCTTAACAACATCTCTAATTGATTTCCCAATAATGCTAGAATGTTCCAAAATACCACCCGGAACTTCCTTTTTATTACCAATTTTTAACGGGCCAACTAGGAAAACTCTTGAGCCTTTAATTCTTTTTTGAGTATCGCGTAAAAGCACCATATCGCCTTCTTCAAATTGAGCTCTACAATATTTTTGTGGAATTGGAAGAAAAGGCGGAAGAGTGGCAATTTCTTTTTTGAAGTGTCAAATAATTTTTATCTATAAACGACAAATTTTTACTCATAGAAATAAAAATACCGGAGGTTACATTCTTGTTCGGAGCCTTTTTTAAAGTAGTGTCACCTCTTAAGACATTTGCACGCAAACCATTTTTTTGACTCGCAAACTCGGAGAAAGTGCGACACGTTATAGTTGAGAAAAAAGTGAATCGATAACGTAAAAACAAATAATTCATCTTAAAATGGGATATTTAAATGGGTAAAAGTTACAAAATATACGTGTTCCTGATTATGATAATCAACCGACCGGCATCAAATTAATGCCGGCCGGCGCAGATTGTAGATTAGTACAGTTAACTCTATACGAACTGACGAAACGTTTATTATAGTAAATCACTATGCTTTCATATATCCAGAGCAAGGTTTGTTTTTATATATATTGATAGAGTTTTTTCATTTCTACTAAAACACACCTATAGAGAGCCCGAATAAATTATATACGGTCATATTTGAAAAACTGCTAATATCACCCCTTTTTTCGGATGAGATTATATTTGAAAAGTAGGTATTGGACGTGAAGGTTATCGTTATATTTCAAAGTGGATAATCAATAAAGAGGTTATAGTTATAATCCCCCGATCACTATATCAAGATCACGGAGATATGCTAATGTAAAGACGAGCATGGTTTGGGAGCAAACCATGGTAATATATTTTAAAATAGGATAACAGTATCGGTCTTACATTTGAGATATGGATAACACGCGTCAATATAAAAGTGCCAACAAAAAAAAATTTACTACAGTGCAGGAACCATTAAACCAACACCTTTTTTAAAAGTGGCCAAATTTGAACCAAATTACTGAAATTTGATATTATCTTTTTTTAAATTTGTATTATATTTTTTAAAATTTTATTATGTTTTTATATATATGCGGCCAAATTTTTATTTTACTAGTAACTTTAAAAGAAAATAATATTATCAAATTTTGTTATATTCAAAAAAAAAATTTTATAGTTTTGTTCTATTCAATTTGTTGTATATTTCTATAAAAAGTTTTTTTCATTTTTTTATAAAATTTTAAAAATTTTTAATTTTATATGTTGATTTAAGGATTCCTGCACTGGAATCCTACCTATAGTGATTTACCATCTATATTTAATTTTTATAAGTTTGTATGTAAAATTTTTAACCCAAATTTTTTGTTAAAATTAGTATTTAAAATTAGAATTAGAGTTTGGAAAAGGTTTCTGAAGGCATTTTATTTGAAATATTTTATACAGATTAATTAGCCAGTTTTTGAGATAATACAATATCGATATAGGTAGTAAAACACCATAGGTATGTTTTAGTAAAAAATAAAGTTTTTTTATAACAAATTTTTTATAAAGCTATGTTATTTAATTTATATCTATAATATAGATTTGATATCAAGTATTTTTATCAATTTTTATTAAAAGAAATTCTAACAATGCCGATATACTATATAGTTTTTTGTTAACTAAATTAGAATCATTGATTATAGTTGAACACAACCTCTATAGATGCATAGTCTATAAGAAACCTTTCTAAATAATCTTGTTTGACTTCAACTCATATATAGTATGTATTGTATATACATTTGTATTTTTTTAAATGCAAGATTTTTTTGATTTTTATATAGGCTTTTGGCTATATACTGTATTTAGACTACCTGTATTTTAGCTTAATTAAAAGCTTATATTTGTAAATATAAATTAGTTAAAATAAATTATATATAGTATAATACAAAGCAAAATAAAATAAAACAAATCTAATTGTAACAACCTGTTATACACTTAATTGTAACAACTCAATTAGTACAACCAATAAAATTCATGTAATCCAAACCCTAACTCTAACCACTATTGGTTAATACGAGGTTGTTACATGTAACAGGTTGTTACAAGAACGTTTATTCTGATTTATTAATTCTCTATGATCTTGAAATGGCGATTAGAAATTACTATAAAAATATACTAATTTAATATTATTAAATAATACAGCATAAGGTATCTAATTATCTAATACGCCAAATTTTAATAATTTTTTATAATAAACTTTTATACTGTATTAAAAAAAATTAACCAATCAAAATTTTTAAAAATTATATATAAATTTATTAAATTTAAAATCTATATAGTTTTAAATTGATATAATCTTTTTAAAATTATTATTTTAGTTTTAAAAAAAATTATAACCATTTAAAAAAATCGACCTATCCCGGACTGTATTAAGGTTATAGTAAACATTACAAAAGTTTAGACTATATATATATATGTGTGTTGTTAAAAGAAAACCTACAACTCTAAAAATAGATTATTATGAAATAGTAATCTATTTTTAGAGTTGTAGGTTTTCTTTTGACAACACTCATATATACAATACGTATACTTCAAACTTATACGTAGTATTTACTTCAAAGCTCTAAAATTGGTTAAAAAATTAGGTTAAAAACAAAAAATATATACTGTATTTGTTACTATATATATATATATACAGTATACAGTATACAGTATATACAGTATATGGTGGAAAAATCACTCTCCGACATTTTCCGATCGGGCTAATTCATTTTTTTGCCCTTATTGATTCAATAGCTTATCGAATGAACTTTTGAATCAATAAAGGAAAAAGTGTTTAAATTTATCCGATCGGAAAATGTCGACGGATAATTTTCCTAGCAAAGGTCCCATATATAATACGTAATAGGCTTTAAATATATAGATAGGTAACTAATAAATACGTAATTTAATTAAGTATATATATAGGTGTTAAATAAATGACTAAATTGTTAAATTGTATATATTTGTATAACTATTTGTACTTTTGTTCTTATAAAATAAATTATAGATTATATGAGAGGTGGTCTAGGAAAATGACATTTTCCTAGACCACCTCTTATACGTATATAAGATCATAATTAATAGTATTAATAAAATTTTACCAACCCTAAAAAATCATTTTAATATTATTAAAAAAAATCATTTTGACCAAATAAGAGTTCTTGTAGATCAGCAAATAAAAATTCCTACATATGTATATACTATGCTATCCGCATTAATAAAAATTTTTAAACTTTCAAGTATAATGAGAGTGATTTGTATGGTTTGAAAAGGCCCGGACGGATCCACAATGAATTTTTTTTTTAAATTTGATTTGGCAATCAATAAAATAAATGACGTTACTAATCTATTACGCCTTCTTTAAAGTCATCCGCTTTGCTCCAGACCATTGACGTCAAAAGATTTCCAAATCAATTACAGATTACGTAACATCATTTACATTATTTTACTAAATCCGTCAAACAAAAGTCGCGAGAATATATGAATTACAACTCGTCACTTAATAGAATTTCTTTTTGCGGAAGACAATTACAATTAAAATCTGTAATCCGGGGACGTCCCAAGCTATTTTTAATCAGAAAGTACGATAGGCATCAAATTTGGAAGAAATCTTGATTCATATATATGCATCATTTTTTCAACATTTTTGAACCAGCATAGAATATGTGGTTTATTATGTAATTATGTACGTACATAAAATATTTTAGTATAAAATATTTTAATTGACAATAATGTTATGCATTAATTCAACTTGATTCATTCATGCAATTACCGATTTTGGGATTTGTAATTTATTTTTTATCGAGACGTAATTTGATGATTTGGACACTTTCATATCTTTACGCTGATATAGCGTTTCGTTCAGAACAATTAATGAAATAAACTAGAGAATTCTTTTATTAAGAAAACTTTTTAAGATTTTGAAATTAAGAACCATTTTAAAAGAATTTTCACGAATGGTTAAGAATGAAAATTTTCTTAGTAACTTTAATGATTCGCGTCAATCGAGGCTTGACCTTCTTGATGATGTAATCCGAGTTTACGTGATAGACCTGTCACCGAGTCGATGAATTCACATGATTAAACGATTTACGAAACGTGTAGTATTTACGACCGAATACCATTTAGTACTAAAGTGAAAATGTATAATTTTAGTCAAGATTAAGAGATTGACTCGGAACCAACTCTGGATTCAGACTTTCTAAGCGGAAACAAGTTGAGAGAATACATAGATAACTGACTAGTCTTAAAAGGTATTTACTCATAATGAAATAGTTATAAGAACATCGGGTAAGGCCGATAATAAAAGAAAATTCAGGAAATTGACAAGTTTAATAATTAAAACATAAAATGATATAGTACGAAAGTAATCGGACCAATAAAGAATAAGTGATTTACGATGTCAAACGAGGAGAAATCACGTATAAACTTGATAAGTAACGCACGCACGGAGTTCGGCATTGAAAATGGTTCCAACATATCCATATATAAATAGCTTGGGGTCAGGCTCCAACATATCCATATATAAATAACTTGGGGTCACAAACTTTTTTTTTT